TCATGAAGATTGGGGAAGGGCAAAGAAGACCGCAGACGGAGTACAGTCTAGGGGGCCAGAGACTACAAACCTCACTCAAGGAAAAGATCTTGGGGTGAGTATAACACCAGGCACATCTCCTGAAGCGCACATCAACCAAATAACTGCTGCAGCATATGGGCGCCTAGCAAACCTCAGAACAGCATTCCGACATCTTAATAAGGAATCGTTCAGGACCCTGTACACCGTGTACGTTAGGCCCATATTGGAGTATGCGGCACCAGTTTGGAACCCACACCTAGCCAAGCACGTAAAGAAACTAGAGAAAGTGCAAAGGTTTGCAACAAGACTAGTCCCAGAGCTAAGAGGTATGTCCTACGAGGAGAGGTTAAGGGAAATCAACCTGACGACACTGGAGGACAGGAGAGATAGGGGGGACATGATAACGACATACAAAATACTGAGAGGAATTGACAAGGTGGACAAAGACAGGATGTTCCAGGGATTGGATACAGTAACAAGGGGACACAGTTGGAAGCTGAAGACACAAATGAATCACAGGGATGTTAGGAAGTATTTCTTCAGCCACAGAGTAGTCAGTAAGTGGAATAGTTTGGGAAGTGATGTAGTGGAGGCAGGATCCATACATAGCTTTAAGCAGAGGTATGATAAAGCTCACGGCTCAGGGAGAGTGACCTAGTAGCGATCAGTGAAGAGGCGGGGCCAGGAGCTCGGACTCGACCCCCGCAACCTCAACTAGGTGAGTACAACTAGGTGAGTACACACACACACACACACACACACACACACACACACACACACACACACCTTCCGTACTATCATCGGAGAAGAAATATCTTAAGCTTTCTCCCAGAGGCACCGGGATTCGAACAGTGTGATGCGCATGTGTCATGCGTAGACAGGAGAGGAAAACTATATAATTCTCATGAGAACGCATGAGAATTATGCATGAGGGGATAATGTTGACATAACGAGGCTGGTGGGAAGAAAGGAATAAAGGAAGGAAGGAAGGAAGGTGCGAGGGAGACGGAGGGAGAATGACAAGAGCAGTAGACAAAAGAGAGGATAGACTGAGATAAAGAATGAATAGAAGATTCTTGATGATAAAGACCTTGCAACCCACGAGGGATAAGAAGTGACACAAGAATGAATCAAAGAATGAGAAACAACTCAAACGAACGGAAACAAATGAAGCAATTCGAAGAAGCAGAAATGAATCAAAGCAGAAATGAATCAGAGAAACAGAAACGGTTCAAAGAATGAGAAACATTGAGAGAGCGAGAGAGAGGATCATTCTAGGGAATTACAGTCAATTAAGAGAATAGTGAGGGGAAACAAGCGGATAACAGAGAGAAAAATGAGAGGGAGAAAGGGAAAGGATGAGGAAGAAGGGGCAGACGAGGAAAGAAAGGGGGTGCAGAGGGGAACGTGTGTGTGGGAGTAGGGAAGAGACTAGTAAATGAGGGGTAAGGGAGAGAAGGGAAAAGGGGAGAGAGAGGGAGACAGAGAGAAGAATGTAAGGGAAAAACAAGGGTAATGAAGATATATTTGGATCTACTTAATGTGATGATAATTACCCATAAATAATCGATCAAGGGAAACACCTTGATAAGAGTGAAGGGCTCTTGATTCAAGAAATATGAGCTAACCTCCCTTTCCCCGGCTCAAACCTGATTCTTTCTCATTTCCCAGGCACTGAAAAACTCCTATGATTTTAGTGCTTCCCAGTACATACAAGAATAACGTCAAATATTATTAATGTAATATTTATCATCAGGGGGAACCACAACTACAACCCCACTACCACCATCACAACCCCACTACCACCATCACAAGAGACACTGGTTGACAGCAGGCTTTGCCCAGACCCCAGCAGCTATTAAATATAAAGGTTTCTACACTGACCCCTGTCCACCACAAGCAAGAAACCCCCACTATCTCCCCACCCATCCCGAAACCCCTTCACAGGAAACCCCACAAGTACTTCAAAACCCTCCTCGCTAAACACCGATTCCAACCCCGACCACAACAAAATCTCTTACACGAAAACGTGTGGTTTTCGTATCACCCTACCCACCACAAAACCCTTTCCATCACTGCCGCGTGCTGGTGGTGGGGGAAGCAACTGCAGCAGCAGTGAAACAGCACGAGCAGCATGACAGTGATACATCAGATGTGGTACAGTCAACATCACAGCCAACATCTGGCCGAGGCTCACATCAACCTTATAATTTCGGTATCCTAGGCCAGGCTAGAGATTCACAGATAATCTTAAAGTCCCCTCAGTAAAGAACCCGAGATCTCTGTACACAGGTCAAGCCCATCTTAAGACTATATAGAACCAGCTTGGAGCCACCACTGATGTAGATCCAATTTTAGCCACCAAGTAAAGAGTGTTGTACACAATATAATAGTGTAGCCAGAGAGTGTGTGATAGTTACACTCAGGTTTGGCTTAATATGATTAATACATATTAAAACTACACTGGATAAAGTGATGAAGACCTACGAAGGGATTAAAAAGACCAGATTCATCAACAACAGTAGATAAACAATGGTTTACAAATGGAGTTGAGATTAGTGTAGGAAACTGGTGAGTATAACTGCAGTAACGTTATTTAAGGAATTAAAATGCTGCAAGTAGGCCTTGCCTCAAGAGACCTAATGCACCGTTCCTCTAAAATTTGCTTAAGCACTGAACTGTTTGTGTGAGCGCGAGGCCTGGTCACAGACCGGGCCGCGGGGGCGATGACCCCCGAAATCCTTTCCGGGTATGACTTCTCAGATGTATATATATATATATATATATATATATATATATATATATATATATATATATATATATATATATATATATATATATATATAATATATATATATATATAATACAATGTATAACATAGACGACATTCTGGCTGTGTACTTAGTATCATTAGGGTAACGGAATATTCTGAATTGTGAATCCATTATGGCAAATCTATTTACATATTTTTACCATGAATACCGATTTGTTGGGGAAGGAAATTGTATTGAGAGTTGTGAGCAAATTGTCTTGTCCGTCTCTTCTTATTCTTGTTCGTTTTCTTGTAGATTCTACACACTGCAGAGTAAAGGAAGATCGTACACGCTTCCCCGTTCACATCTACACATACATACACATCCCCTCCACTCACATTCCCCTCAACCCCTCACATACAAACTAACAGTCCCCCCCACTAACATACCACCTCCACCCTCCACCCACACTTCCCCTCCAATCACACTCCAGTCCAACAAACCCTGTACCCCCACACGCCTGCCATTCACACCCACACATGCCCTCCATCCCCACACACCCTCCACCCACATATACCCACGCCCTCCACCCACACACCCACGCCCGCCATCCCTCACACCATGCCAAATGCAGGCAGGGTCACAATTCCGTTAGAACACGGCATTTCGAGTCCAATTTCCTGGCTACGTGAGGCCAGAGGAACAATGAGGAGGCCCAGGAGGTTCCTATGATTCATTCACGGTCTCCTCCCATCTCCCTGTGTGGTCTCTATGGTCTCCTGCCTCTCCTCTCTTCGAGGTCTTATTGATCGTCTCTCCCTCCCTTCCTTCATGTGCCCAGAGCTGCCAGGTGGTCTAGTACTCGTGACCTGCCTCTCCTTACTTCACGGACAGCTGGACGTCCATTGGTCAGTCCCAGGACTACCCAAGCGAACTTAGAGCTCTCAAGGTCACTCATTCTTCGTGATTTTATTGACCTCAATGATGGTCTTTCGAATCTCCAGACCTGTCGTCAAGGCTTGTAGTCAACGCTTGTGGTCTTCACGGCTTGCAATCCTTTGCAGCTTCACCTTCTTATTAAAATATTCACGTATGTATATATATATATATATATATATATATATATATATAATATATATATATATAATATATATATATATATATATATATATATATATATATATATATATGTATGTATGTATATTAGTTCTCACTTATCAGATAATCAGAATATAGATATCATTTGCATGGGCATCATCTAACCCTGGTGGATTAACATGAACATCACTAACGTGGGCGTCATCACTGTGGGCGTCATTAATGCTAGAGTCACCCACGTGGGCGTCATCCACACGGGAGTCATCCATACGGGCGTCATCAAACCCTCGATGGCAGAATACCATTTGCGTTGCTCCCTCCGTCATGCCTCACACAATCAGCAGAATACTGAACATCCTCGCTACTGTGTCCTTATCACCTGCTGGCCTCCAAGTTCATGTGATTACCTGTGTGTACGTACCTGTATGTGGCTGCAGGGGTCGACCCAGCCCTCGTGTGTGTGTGTGTGTGTGTGTGTGTGTGTGTGTGTGTGTGTGTGTGTGTGTGTGTGTGTGTGTGTGTGTGTGTACGTGTATATATACGTACCGAAGTTTGCTTGAAGGGGTCGAGATGCATACTCAGTGGGAGAATGTGAAAGTTAAAAAGACTTGCATTGCAGTGCAACACAATACAATAGCACACACACACACACACACACACACACACACACACACACACACACAACCTCACCCTCTCTTCCCCTCACACTTCCCTCTTGTCACTCCTCCCTCACTATACAATTTCATCCACCTCATTTCTCCGATTCCCTGAGGACCTTCCTAGCACAGACGCCCCTTAGAACCTTTTTGATGCAAGACATCCCCGAAAAACCTTCCTAACACAGAACCTTCCTTAGACAGACGTGTCTCGGCAGGTACAGGTGGCTGGCAGACAGCAACCAACCAGGCAGGTACAACCGTCCTATCAAATCAGTGTGAAATAAAAACCTATACTCTTCCTTTTTTTGCACTCTGACAGGGTTATTAATCTTTGTCTCATCAACACGCAAGATGGCAGGTAAATCTTGCAATCTTTGCTTCCCTATGCGTTCTTAACAGCTCTTATTCTTGCAATATTTCCTATGAAACAGAATACAGGACGTCCCTCGCACAGACTCCATGCACTAACCTTTTTTCTAGGGAGCACCAGCCACAGTAGGGGTCCCTGGCGGCGAGACAAGAGGAGCAGTTGGTGTAGGAGGAGCAGCTCTCTACTTTCACCTTCGACGCCTGCGCAGGGAGACACAAAAATGAAAATTAGTACTGCAATGTTATCAAGTATTATCAGTCATACAAATAGAATTCTTATTATCATATATATATATATAATATAATATATATATATATATATATATATATATATATATATATATTATATATATATATATATATATATATAATATTAATATATATGAGGAAGTGTAGACTAAATGATCACAATGAAACGACGTACGGAACTGTTTATTGCATTTAAGGAGAGAAATGTGGCAGATCCTGCACAATGTGTGGAACAGGTGGTAGGTTACTGACATCATTGAAGAGGTTTGTGTGGAGAGCGAGGGTCAGGTTAGGCTATAGAGGACAGGAGATTATTTTGCAGTAAAAGACAGCAGACAGGGATGTGTGATGTCACTATGGATGTTTAACTTTAACGTAGATGGTTGTAAAAGAAGTGACTGCAAAGGTGTTAATGAGAGGTGCTGACTCAGAAGATGATGAAGCTAAAAGAACGGTCTCGAGTTGGTCTATACCGATGACATAGTTCTTTTGGGCGAGTCTGAAGAGACGTTGAAAGATAAATGGAGAAATTTAGGAAGGTAATTCAAAGAAGGAAATTAAAAGTGAACACAGGAAACAGCAAGGCGACAAGAGTAACAAAATCTAGGCAATGAACGACTGGATATCAAAATGGAAAGAAGGAGTACGAAGTGTGTTTACACTGGTAGAACTATCGGCAGACAAGTCTATGAAAGTTGAGGCGAACCATAGATTAGAAGAGGGAGGGGGGAGGGGGAAGGAAGCCAGGTCATGTAGTGAAGCGTGATATCACGTTTCTAAGTGCTCAACATTGAATGATATGTATTATTAGTGTCACTGGAATGGGTGTTATGTAGCTAAGAACATTATGGACACAGATGCTGTTATGTGTGACAGATCAACCTGATACACAACCCGCATGTAAGATTGAAACTTATGACGACGTTTCAGTCCGATTTGGACCATTAACACGCCACGCAGAGAAGCAAAAACTGAAGGGGGGGGAGTATATACCAGAAGGGGGGGAGTATATACCAGAGGGGGGCAGTATATACCAGAGGGGGGGCAGGGGTAGGGAGGAGTCAGATCGAAACATCGTCATAGGTTCCAGTCTCTTTATGCATAGTACCAGCCACGGTATTGTAACTATTCTTTCTAAATCAAGAAGTACTTGAGGCAAGAACTTAACAGTGAAAGTTACTTAGACCACGAACTGTTATCATAACACGGGGGTCACTAGAACCACTGGCATCACAACAAGCCCTTCACATCATGGCACCATGGCCGCAACAACCCTCCGTCCCTCGGCACCGGTGCCGTCATAACAACCTCTTCACATCACCTTGGCACCATGGCCGTCACAACAGAAGGTGGTAAGATCTTGTTTACAAATAGCAGGTCCAAGACTCACCCTGTCAGAATGGGCTATATTTTCTTCTCGTCTTTCATCTCCTGTTTGTCTGTCTGTCTGGTCTCTGTCTGTCTCTCTCTCTTCATTAAACATTATATATTTATACCTATGATATACCATGATGAGTTTCGAGAGTCTCACTTCTCATATTATATATATATATATATATATATATATATATATATATATATATATATATATATAATATATATATATATATATGTCGTGCCGAATAGGCAGAACTTGCTATCTTGGTTTAAATAGCAACGTTCATCTTGCCATATAGGACAAGTGAAAATTTGTGTATGCAATAATTTCGCCAAAATCATTCTGAACCTAACGAAAAAAATATATTTCATTGTGTTTGTTTAGTATTAAATTACTGTAAACAAATCTAAAATATATTTAGTTGGGTTAAGCTAAAATAAACTGCTCTTGTTATAACAAGGTTAGGTAAGTTTTCCAAGTTTCTTTTGGTGCAAAATTAAAAATTTTTACATTAACATTAATGAAAAAAAAATATATCTTTAAACGCATAAGAGAAAATTTTGAAAAGGACTTAATTTTAAATGAGTTCTTGCTAATTGACCAGTTTTACATATTCGGCACGACACATATATATATATATATATATATATATATATATAATATATATATATATAAAAAATTTCTAAACGACATTTAGCCGAAAGTAATGAGGACACCTGCAGCAGAACAAGTTTTTACTGGGAGAACGTTTAGCTCTGATTAGCGGTCTGTCAATTCATGAAACTCGACACAGAGCGAAACGTCGACCATTAAAGGTTGTGCAACGTGCCTCTTTTCGTGAAAGTTACATCGATTATATAAGAACTTAAGAACATAAGAAAGAAGGAACACTGTAGCAGGCCTACTGGCCCATGCGAGGCAGGTCCAAGCCGCCTACCGGCTGATAAGAGTTGTCATTCATTCAGTAACAGTCTGGCTAGTAGTGTGTGTGGACACCACAGTTCAAGTGACCCCGTTGATAAATTAGACACATGTGCAACTCTTGGGTATCTTTATTGAGGAAACGTTTCGCCACACAGTGGCTTCATCAGTCCATACAAAGGAGAATCTTGAAGAACAGGAGGAGAATGAGGTAATCAGTCCCTCAACCTACAAACCCACAAACCTGTCAGACACTGCAACTTCTTGGGATCTTAATACTTGGGAATTCTTCGCTTGCCTAATTCTTGGGCACGACCTACTTCAACATTGAACAAATGTTACACGACCTATGACTGCTGCACCTCTCCTGCCAACGGTTTATAAGCTCCTTCTCAGCACGTATGCCGTATTCTATTCAAGATTGATGGACTGACCACATCGACTCAAGGTTGAGGGACTGATTACCTCATTCTCCTACTGTTCTTCAAGATTCTCCTTTGTATGGACTGATGAAGCCACTGTGTGGCGAAACGTTTCCTCAATAAAGATACCCAAGAGTTGCACATGTGTCTAATTTATCAACATGTCGGTTCTCTGAACCATTCATCTACAAAGTGACCCCGTGAACCACAACCTCCTGACCCATCCTTCAAAGTGCTGGCAGTGTACTTCTCGCCTTCAAGACTGCAGGCACTGAACCTCTCGCCTCCAAGACTGCAGGCACTGAACCTCTCGCCTCCAAGACTGCAGGCACTGAACCTCTCACCTCCTGAACTGTTACGTTCTCACTCATCCTTTCGACTACAGACACTGTGCTTCTCTCCCTCAGAACTGTAACGTTCTCACTCATCCTTCAGAATGTTCTGTATTTCCCACCTCCATATCTGCAACATTCCCACCCATCCTTCAGACTGCAGGCACTGTACCTCTCAACTTCAGAACTGTAACGTTCCCTTCTATTCCTCACAATGCAGGCACTGTACTTTTCCCTTCACGACCCCCCCAGTGAAAAGTAGGGGCGTCACTGGTACACTAAGAGAAAACACAGTAAGTGTCCGTGTGTCATGTAGGGGGGTAATGATTGAATAGGATATAAGTGGGGAATATGGGAGTAAGGGATTATGTAGGCAGGGGAGAGGCAGGCGAGGTGGTAGGAGTGAGATGATTAGCGGAGGTAGGTAGGTAATGACAGGTCAGTGGTGACCACCACGACACTCTCATTAACTCTACACTACTCACTAACATATGCCTCGCCCATTCTTCACTCATATATAAACATAATAAAATATAAGAAAAAAGAATAAATAACGGTGGGCAGTGAATATTACTATTCTACTCAAACACAGTTTATTATTAAGTCTTTGTACAATAATATATTTGGGAACAGAACATTATTGTGGTTTAGATAAATGGGATGGTACACATAAGCAGTGAGACAGGGAATACAATCAACTTGACCAAAATGAATGTAACTTACAATATAGTTCAGAGGGCAGTTCATCACAGGAACTAAGCCACAGGTCCCAAGACCTACACAGCACGAGTACTGCGCCAAGCCAGTACTCTGCCCAATGCCTCCAACAGTCTCCTCCAGAGACTTCAGCAGCCTTCTCCCGAGCCCTGCACCCCAGCAGCAGCTCCGCTCGAAGTCTCTGCTCAGGAGCTCTGCACCCCAGCAGCAGCTCCGCTCGAATCTCCTGATCATGCTCTTCCTTGGGCTTTTATGGTGGTCCAAGCACCCTCCACAACCACGTGTACGACCTGACGCCTAGGTCTGACGCCGTCAAGAACAAAAGACCTCAGACGTGGGCGTGGCTACAGACGTTTGCCAAGGCAAGGTGTGACCATATAATTGGTTAAATTAGGTCTCCCCAGAGACCTCACAAGCCCAGCTGAACTATATCACACGGGCCCCAAGACTGTTCAACAGCCTCCCACCAGCAATAAGGGGCATTACCAGTAGACCCCTGGTTGTCTTCAAGAGGGAGCTGGACAGATGCCTAAAGTCGGTGCCGGATCAGCCGGGCTGTGGTTCGTACGTTGGGCTGCGTGCGGCCAGCAGTAACAGCCTGGTTGATCAGGCCCTGATCCACCCGGAGGCCTGGTCGTGGACCGGGCCGCGGGGGCGTTGATCCCCGGAATACCTTCCAAGTAGACGACCAACCTACCACTAATGGAAGGCCCGTTATTCCTTACTCCCCTTCACCTGTTACAAGAAACCATTAACAGGAAACCCTCTCACCTTTCTCCCTAAACTTACAGGAGCTTCAGCTAAGAAACTCTCTATCACCACACTAACATAGTCCCTTGAATCACCATAAATATTTAAACAGTGGATTCCCTGCCCAATGAATATTACATCTTAATTACTTCTGGTTTCCACTGCAGAAGGTACCATTTAATAATGGGATGAGCATCGTGTCAGGTTCCACGAGTTTACATTCCCCTGTGGTATAATAAAGGGGAACTGCTAAACCGACAGGGTTTAGCATACTGCACCTTGGAACTAAGAAATAAGAATGATGCAAGAAAGAGGAGAGATGGTTTAATTTCTTGTATCAAAAGTCACCAGCGTTGAGATACTTTCTTAGTAGCTGTGGAAGACGTCAAAAGTTCTCAGTGGAAGAGGGCACCTGTGTACAACTTTGCGTAC